TTTATAGCCCGTTTACATTTGTCCTCAGCGAGAATGTATTTTGTCAAGGTATGGTTGTTCTATTAAATCCAGTTTGTGTTTTACTTTCTGGAATGCTCCATGTTTATAAGAGCGACGTAAGTATGGCAATTTTCGAGACTTGATGACCTCCAAAACACCGGCTTCGATAGATTGAAAATCGTAGAATTGTTTGGACCTGTATTTTTGAAGCTGCGGGAAGCAATGTGGAAGGAAACATTTCATACAATTACCGATTTCACATTGTCACACGTTTTAAGTCCTAACTCCAAATAACCAATGTAAATTTTTTTCAAAGTTGCACTGAAATTCGTCGGATAAGCGAAAAGGATGTGTTCCCTAAGCGGTCCGCAGATAATGTTACGCCGTCATATTTTCGACACTATTGCACAGAATGTTTGTCGCATTGCTGACTTCCAAACTTTCGAAAAACTCTGTGAGTCTAACAGTTTTGTTATCATGTAATTCTAAAGGATTAATCTTCGACTTTTATCTAAATCGAAAGAGAAATAAGTGTTGGCTGGCGGCGTACAGTTGCGAGCTATTTACATATCAGTATATTTGGTCGTAACGCTCCTTCAGAGATTAATCACACAACTTTGCCGGCTATGTTATAAATACTGCGGGATTGGAAGATATAGGTTTTCAGTAGTATTTGTACAAATTGCTGGTTGGCTTTAAGCAGAAAATTTTGAAAATAGCCTTTGAAAGTCTGCGGAACAAATTCCAGTGAGAGTTCTTTAATGGTTCTCACAGTCAGTTCGCTAGCTTGTTTCGGTTCGACGAAATCAACCATCGTTTACGTCTTTAATGTACCATTGACCGATCATCACCAGTAAATTGTACAGTATATCTTTCTTTAAATCTGGAATATTGCTGCAACAGCCGATAGCACTTCTGGAAGGCGTTTCTGCGCACTTTTCGAATGTGTATTGCACCATCCTGAAGGAAATGAGAGGACAAGAGATATTCAACCTTCCTGGGTAGACGTCACAACATCCGCTCGACCCATTCTCCTCAAACTCGGTCGTGAAACAAAATAGCGGTGTTCTGGAGCTGTTTTCGAGATTTCGTCGGGGTACTGAAAATCGAGGATTTAACCGAATCCAAAAATCTTTTCGCAGAAGTATTTCAAATAACAAGTAGATTCGTTTTAGCGGGAAAAAAAAAATTGGGGGTTAGGTGCACTCAGGAGCCATAATCGGGGACGGAGACCGTAAGCGCGCGCCATTTCTAGTATTGGGGTTGTCCCCATGTTTTGTTCTAAAAATAGAAAAATTGTCCCATATCATAGGTGCGCGCGGATCCCAAGACTTACGGTCTCCGTACCCGATTATGGCTCCTGGTGCACTTTAATCACACATTTACACGAGGGAACATTGTATTCAGTTATGCTAAGAAATGTCAATACAGTTTACCCTAAAATTGAAGGTTTCATAGCGAGGACAAAAACTTCTTATAGTATTGAGCTCCATATCGCTAAGCTCTGAGAGCACTTTGAAAAATGGGAAAGACCAATAAATACATCTGCAATTAAAAATATTAACAACAGTTATTAGGTAGTAGGAAGGATAAGCCGTGTTTGTTTGTTACGCCTTTTTTTTTTTTTCCTATTACTTTAGTTATTATGGGTTACCTTACTTTGCATTGTTTCTTTTGTAATTTTTGAATATTAACCAATAACAGTGGTCTACGTCTCGGTGATAAACTCTTATTCCATGCGGGCTAAAAGCTAACTTCGATTTATTTTATTTTTCGTTCCGTGGTACCATGAAGACCTGAGCTGAATATAGATTATCGTTGAAAGATTCTCAGGTAGGTGTTGTGTGGTGAGCGATGAGATGCGATGCGATCAATTCAGCATAACTGCGAGTAGATTTTGAGCCCAATCGGGGCGAGGTAGTTTTTCGCAAAATTCTCCCCAAAAAAGCTGTATTAGCAGAAACTATCTATGGTCCGTTTGTTTTCCAGCTAGGGCCAATCAGTATGGGGAAAATATAAGCAAAATTGATTTTTCGTTGCCTTCGGCGTCGCCGTCGTGTTTTCGTAAACTCCCTAGACTAGTCAGACTCTAACCAGGTACTTCCACAAAATTGTAACGTTTTGGGGGACTGTTTTACAATGTATTTCAATTTCAAGCGTGCATGTTTTGATATCAATCGTTTCAATAGTGGACACTATAAAGTGGATTTGAAAAATCTGAGGAAAATTAATTTACAGTCGAACAACTCAAGTCGGATTTCAAGGGTAACGGGGGGAAAACATTTCAACTTAACTCCGCAAGTCTCTAAGGTGCATTAGGTTTCCTTCGTAGGCCGGTTGGACAATAAACTTTGAAACTGGGCCTGTAAAAGTAATCGCAGCGCTCGAGGTTCTCTCCAGTCAGATACTTGCACGACGAAAATAAAATACTGTATTTTTTTGCAGCTTTCGGTGAACAGAACATTATTATAGCGTTAATTAAAGGAACCCTACACTTAGTTAAAACGGTTAACACTAAAATAGATTAAATTTTCGGAGATGTAGGACCTTCCTGTGAATTGTCCTCCCTAAAATTAATTTACAGGGAAATTGTCATGATGCAGAGACGTGTACTTGCCCGATACTTAAGGTGGCTCAAAACAGTTTTCTGTTTTCTTGATACTTATAGAACTAGGTGCGATTTTTCAGGCTTGGAACTGTACTGTTTTGAATGGCTGTGCTTTTTTTTTTTTTTAAGGTAACTCTCCACTGTGCCTTTCATTGTGTTAAAGTCGTAAATTAAGGTTGCACTGTCCTGTTGCAGGGCAGCTTGATCCACTTTTTGCCATCAGTTGCATCTATCTTAAAAACTAAGTCGGTGTCCCCATATATTTTTATTTATTTATTTATTTTTTTCACACACAGAAGAAGAAACAGACAAAATTAGAAAAAACACTCTGTGGAGTGGATTTTTCTTAAAGTAAGAAAATGGAAATTTCCAAGTTGGAGAAATTCCACTCGACAGTTTTTTTTTCTTTTTTTTTCTTTTTTTTTTTTCCAATTTCGCACAACGCATTCCGCTTTTGCTGTTGAATATTTTTATGCCTTAAGAAAGTAGGGTCACTGGATCAGTTTTTGAGATATTAGCCTCGTGGATAAGGTATTTTAGCGCCCGTTCTAGGCGCAAATTAAAATCTCGAGTTTGCAAGATCGCCCCTTGCGCACGCATGAAGGCGGTCCGCTGATCAGTGAGGCCAGGGCGGAAAGCGCCCTGGTAAAGCCCGCAAGTAAACCACGCGAATAAACGCGAATAGTCCGCGAATAGTGTTTTCTTTTTCGCTGTTGTCGTTAGCAGCATAAGCCGTAAAAGCAGAGTACCATAAATACCCGGAGTTGAGACTAGCCAAGTACACAGAACGAAGAAAACCTGAAGAGTAGTTTTTTTCTTGCTGTTTTTTTAGCTTGATAGCCGGCAAGATCGGTCGCAACATCACAATTTTCGTTTACTTCCCAGCACAACGGTTTAAGGGGATGTTTTCCTTTGAAATTGCCTGAAGGATGGATGTTTTCGAAGTTAAAAATAACTGATAACGCAAACAGCTTACTAAACTTGACGGAAATAAAGTTTTACGAGATAGGCCTCACGCCGCCATGTTTGTTTTGATTTTTGTAAACTTTAAACCTCGCGCGCTATCTCGCGAACCCTCGAGTGATCGCTCGATGCCTCGCGCTGAAGTGCGCGCTTGGGCCCAGGCTTCTCACGGAAATATTACTGTTTTTAGCCACCTGAAAACAATGCTCCTCGTTGGCTGTTCGCTCATTGAAAACACAACCTCTAATTCTAAGTGTAGACACTATGAAAGATAGAAAACAACCCAATGAATTCATTCTCATGTAATATAGTAAAAAACGAAAAACCCGAAAAGCCATTTTCCTCGCAAGTAATCCATTAAGCATTCAGATGTTTTAGGAAAGCAAAGTTAATCTTGAGTTGTTTGAAAGAACTTACTTGAAGAACAAGATTCAAAGACAAATCTAATACCATTTCCGACCAATCACAACTATCAACGACCACAACTCCGTTTCAGTTTATGCTTCTTCAGCAACGTTTATATTTTGAAGACCCTAAGAGGTTGTTAAGGTTATGATTAGACTCCCAATTACAGATGGTCTTGCAGATAAGTCGTAACATTGTTTAATGAAAAAAAAAAAGAAGAAGAAGAACGCTCAAAAGAAAACATATCAGCAAAACAGTACAGCCTTCCCACACGTTTTACAGTATATTGAAATGACTATTGGTAATAAGAGCCATTGTCTAGCGTTTGGCTATATAACAATTAAATTACTATCCATTCTTGACTGCACTAGATTAGGGTTTGCCGGCCTGACAACGGAGAAAAACATGCTATCCAGCACTTCACTAATTCTGCGCCACAGGCTTCTTCCAGACAGGCTTGGTACTCGGCAGGAACGACATCTAAGCATTCCAAGGCTTGAAAGTGACAGGCATTTTCCGCACAAGCATAGCAATCCATACTATGAGTAGCTATCCCCACTGAAAAAAAGTCAGTTTGAACAGTGAATATCGTAAGAGAAGAAGTAGCAATTCAAAACCAGGTTCACACTGTCACTGCTTTTCACAGTACGCGACTCAAACTCGACGTCGCGCGGGAGCTAAGGTGATGACTTATAGTCGAGCAAGACGGCGCTTCTATTGCGGCCCTTGCAATGTTTTTTTAATGAGTGATGGCAGAGGGTGGGGAAGGAGTAAAATAAAAACTGGCCTCTTAAAGTAAGGAAGCTCATACAGTAGTACGTTCATATTGCTGGCGAATAAATGTTAAATTTGGGGGCTTATCGTCATCTATTGGACACCGCCAAAAAGCCACAATCAACAACAATAATATTCATGTTCCTTCAATCGAAGCCAAAACGATGGGTTTTACACTACCCGTCTTCATTATTTGAATGAGATTAAATTTCGATAAACATTTCAAAATAAAAATGAGCGATAGAAATTTTACACAACGTTTCGATGTCGTCATGACATCATTATCAAGTGACAAGAAAATAACGGTTCAACAGTGTTATATATGCGGTGAGAGGTGTGATTGCTCATTAACATATTTGTTTAAACAAATAGTGATCACCAAAGATCCTCTCGTGCCACCTCAACTACCCGTCAACGAAGATACTGTTCACCGAGTGGTATTGCCATTTAAAGATCAAACGTCGGCCGATGTAGTGATCTGTGCGATGCAGAGTATGTCGGGTATACCAGYCGGCATTTGCACCAACGTATCGATGAACACAGGTTCTCCGCAATCGGAACGCATTTAAAGAACGATCACGGCCTTTATAACATCGACGACCTTGCCAATAATTTTTCCGTTTTAAAGAAATGCAACGGAAAAATGGATTGTTTGATTTACGAAATGCTGTTTATTAGAAAGAAGAAACCTAGCCTGAACCCGCAATCGGATTCCATCCGCGCGAAACTATTTGTTTAAACAAATATGTTAATGAGCAATCACGCCTCTCACCGCATATATAACACTGTTGAACCGTTATTTTCTTGTGACTTGATAATGATGTCATGACGACATCGAAACGTTGTGTAAAATTTCTACCGTCTTCATTACCCTCAAGATTTCTAAGGGACAGTGTCCCTCCCAATTATTGAAAGTTCTCTTTCCTAATTTCAATATTGTATTGCCAAATGCACCCAAATACACAAGTGGACTGAATAAAAAGATTCTACATAGCTAAATAGGACAAGTAATTTGGAGAAGAAGTACAGGAATACAAGCATGGAAGGATGGATTACAGTTCATCGAATTTGATTTGTGAAAGGCTGTCAAACAATCCAAATTGCCACTTTGGTGAAAATTTTCTTTCTAGTTGATATTTCGTTGCAAGTTATAGCAATTAGCTCCTGGCGATACCGCGTAAAACATGAAATATCACTTGGGAGGCTGTCCCTTTTATTTATGCCAGGAAAAAGTTTGCTGAGTTCTGCGTGTTCAAGTTTGTAAAATACAAACATTTCACTTTATAAACGTATAAACTAGCATTTTGTAGAGTAAGCACAAACAAACCATTGGGGCGCTTGCGGTTTTCAGGAATCTCGATTTCGTCGTTCTTCTTCAACTTGAACAACATCACTCCAGTCAGGTTAAGGAGGAGAAAAAAGAACGCCGTTCTCACGAACATAATGTCGCCGTTTTTCTCTGTGAGGGAATAACGTGAATTTTTCTAGTTAGCAGGTTAGTTGATTTAAAAAAAACAAAAAAAAACAAAAAAAAGATGAGCACCCGACAATGAAGAGTCAACTCCTGGAAATAGCGACCTCATATGCAACCTGAAATGCACCTTAAGTTTCTGTTCTTAAATAACAGTGGGGAAGAGCAGATGCCAAGCTAAGACAAACATGACTCGGTCTGATGCTGATTATTTTTAACTGCTTTTAAACTTTTCTCCTCTAAAGTGCAGGAATCACGTGTTCTTTTTATGTTTTGCTCAGAGTTAAACAACAGAAACCCTACTTACAGTTTGGCGTGCGCGCGCCGACCTGTACGGCAAACAGGTTTTCTACTGTACAAATAACTGTGCAATATCGCTTTATAGTTGTACTGTTATTTGGACGGTATTCGCTGTATTTGGATAATAAACTTCCTTAGATGTAACAGTTAAATAAAACTAAATTGCTTAAAAGACGATACTCACATTACTCGGTAAAAATTTCTTTCTCTCTCTCTCTCTCTCTCTCTCTCTCTCTCTCTCTCTCTCTCTCTCTCTCTCTCT